TGGAGGAGAGTAAATGAGTCTGGGGATTTTTATAATCCAGAAGGAAGAAACTGCATGCCTCTCCCAACCCCCAGTGGCCTTGCCACGAATAGCTGTTTTCATTTAATATTCCTTTCCCTGAAATTCATGTTTGTTTGCTTTTTAATTTTAGGGTGGTTACCAAGCTCCTTTCAGCACTGAATTAGAGAAACAGAGGATGCAGTAGCAGCTATACTCACCTATTAATCAAAATAATTTGTCTTTATGAACCAATTCAGAATACCGCGGTGCTGGCTCTTGTGATTTCATAACATCTCATGACATTCAATATTTTTGTTAAAGCTCTGCTTTCCAGATTCATGTGATAATGGGAGAAGCTAGAGTTTCACTTAGGAAGAATTAGCAATAAAGTATCTAGAGCACCTGGCTGTAGAGAGAAATTGGCAAATGGAATCCAAGTGCATCCTAAAGCCTCAGAAAACCAGAAGGCAAATAAAAAGCACCTGCAAACATTGTTTGTTGGCTGAGCTTGCTGGAAAGACACTTGCATGAAATGTGCTTCTCTGTCTGCTCCTGTGGACAGGAGCTATTGAGTGCTGATCCAAGTTCTCCAAAATGCCACGATGTTTTCTGGGTAGCTCCTTCTGGGAAACTGAGAGTGGGGTTTGTGCAAAGTGGGGAAAGAAATTATCACCAGCAAAAGCTATGGAGTGGGAAAACTGGACCTTCAACCCCTCCCCCCCCCAACTGATTGTAACAGAAGTGGCCCCTGCTAGAATGTTTTTGGATGCTCTGTGTGTTACCAGACGCTTTGACTTCAAATACATGTGTGAGTTTTCCCATTAATACAGAGCACGCCCCTTTCCCTTTGGACGTGCAGCATCCCGGACAGGTGGGGAGATGCTGGGAGGTGTCAGGACAGCCCAGACTCAAGGGGCACAGATGCACCTGTGATGCTTGGGAGCACAAGGCCACTTCAGAGGCTCTGTCTCAGTGTCTTTTCACCCGTGAATCTGCCATGTCTGAGTAAGAAAGGTGGCTGAATGAAGACGAGGGTGCAGAGCGAATAGGCACCGGGTGCATTGCTCATGGAAGGGGAAGAGATTTTTC